TATTTATAATAATATTTATACCATATATACCGTACCATATTATATTTTATTATTATTTACTATTACTTTTACTACAATGTATTTTTATCTACATATAATCATACATATGTGTGAATAAATATATGAGTATTATCAGTGCGTATGTATCTCTGTATAAATACAAGTATGTTATCTTATTAAAATCAAGCTAATGTACTAATATTTATTTTCGTATCAGTGTTATTTGTATTATTTATTATTTGTATTATTTGTTATTTTAATTACTAATACGATTAGTATTAGTTCTTTTTCTCAAAAATTTTATTTTGAAGATTTTATTTTATGCATATATAGATAATCCTGTATAACTCTAATGTACAGTAATACATAAGTCTGAATATTTTCCATTTAGTGATACAAATTGACACCTATATTCTATCTTTCTTATCATAAGAAACAAACAATATAAGTATCTGTCAATTTGTATTAAAAGGAAAGCAACGAGAATAAAAATTAATCTTATATATATATATATCGTATTATTATCGATCCATTGATATGCAATTTTTTTTATTTATTCCTATACTATACTGTTTCCTATACTATACTGTTCCTATACTATACTGTTTTTTTATATGATATATTTATACTCAATAAAATTATTATCGTTATTAATATTATATTTCATTAATCTATTTATAAGAGAAAAAAAAAACATCAAAAAAATCAAGAAAAATTGAATCGTCGCAAGAAAAGAGGAGAACCATAGAAATAATTGCTATGTCAATTTATATAAACATTATGTAAACTTACGCAGATGGATACGATCATTTTGTTCCGTCATCAACAATTCCCGACACCGAAGTGGTGCGTTATGAGCCAGGCGATAGTTAATTTTATAAGCTCTTGAAGAGAGTTGCATACTCGAGCTAGGGTATACAGTGCTGACATTATAATGGTAACCGATTGTAAGCGCTTTGGCTCACGGAAAATATTTAATGTCAATAGCGTACTCTTTTTCAGCTGTGGGACCAACTTGATGGCTTGACCTCGCGCGCGTATTCCGCCTCGACCTCATAATGCGTTTTACGCTTATGTGCGAGGCACATATTACATCTAGGGTATTAACTTACCCCAGAAGCAGATGTGACTGGCGCACATGTTCTTCAATAAGTGCGACGGTCGCCTTGATTTCGAGGCAACCCGGCCAATTGCACTTGAAGACCACTGCCGCATTCGCCTGAAAACAGAAAAATGATAGTCGTTAATGATCATCGACACGAACGTACATACATCACGTGGTGATAGACCCGATAGAATTCATTAGGACTTCACATGTCCGTGAGAACTTCACGAAAGGGAAAAGGGTAATGTGTGTATAGGCAGCTATGATTTATTTCAGCAAACATTGTTCCATAACCAATCGGTACATCGTGATGCAATTTGTGCATGGCTCACACTGGTAACAGGACTGCTTTGATCATCGAATTGAATAGACTGTTTTCATCGATTGAAACACCATTCATGTAACATTTTCCAGTGAACCACCATTTCAAAAATAATTAATTCCCTTCATTTTGCTATTAAAATGATTCTAATATTTATTATTAATATAGCCCGTGTTTGCTAATTAAAATAAATATTTTTATCAATATACTGCAGATTTCAAAAAGCCTCTCCCCTCCCCCTCAACATCCTAGAATCCTTATATTTATTATATCCCTTTTTGTATTTCAATTGTCATTGAATAGAAACATTAATTGTTACGCGTGATCGCAGGTGAGATATCGTATGTTAATCTATAAGATTCCGAACATCTTAAGACAGCCCTGTGTCGGAGTCACGCCAAGCCGAAGAGAGAGGAAAATCGATGCCGTGCGGCAGCCGCGCCGCGCGCACGTTTCTTTGTTTACATCGGCCGGCCGGTAGCGGAGGCGCCGCGTTGCGCCGGTCACAACGTTACGGTCACGTGGTATTGATCGCAAGAGAGCGAGGAATACAAGCCCACGCGGTCCGCGATGATCGCGTGTTTGAGCGCGAAGGACGGGACCGGCATCTCTCACGAAAGCGAGACAAGTCCTCAACTGCGTGTAATCGTCTTCTACTCGAGTGACGATTATCGCGGATGATACCCGGATCTTGCTTATCCCCGAGTACGAATCCAACGCGGATAGAATGATAATTGCAAGTCGCTCCGCTCAAGGGGATTCGGAGTACATTTACAAATGGATTAGTCTTAGCTTTTAATCATTCGAATGCATTTTCAGCAGCAACTATTGTTACAAAGAGTTAAGTGTAGATAGTAAAAACAAATCTGCCTTGAAATAAGCATTGAATCGAATTTCGATATTTTATTAAGCGGACGCGAAAGTGTTACGTTTCTACGTTTATTTCTAACAAAGCACATCGAAAATCGATCTCGCCAGTTTCTATACATGTCGGCGTGTTTGTGAATTTATATAGATTTAAACATGTTGATGCAGCTTGACGAGCATAATCCGGATGTAGCTAATTACTTATTAACGGTTTTACAATCATCCTGGCGAGAGCACACGCGACGCGAACATTTTCCAACGTAACGGCCCAAGAAGACAATCATGAGCTCGTTAACACGCTACAGTGTAGGACGTCCCTTCAAAGCATTCCGGATTAATAAGCCGTCAGACTACGGCGAAAATAATTCGCTTTAAGTACGCATTCGCGCGATAGCACGTCGCCGGGCCGTTCGGTCTAGTTAATGAGCGCATGAATATTTACGAGTGACTTTAACGACTGCACTTAAGACACGATCTTGGAAACCGCACCACCCCACACCACCGTCGATCGCTTTCCTCAATTTTGCATGGCTCAGTTTACTACGCGCCATTAACGCTCGCCTCTTTCGATTTCTCACCGGGTGCATGGTACGATCGACGGGATGATAGCGAAGGGAGGAGGGGAGGGAGGGAGAGAGAGAGAGAGAGAGAGAGTGCGATGGCTGATAAGCGTTCGGAAGCGTATTGACTGAAAGGCGCGCACGTGATAAGCGGGATTGCGCCGTTCGATGGCGGAGAGGCTACCGCTTCGGCGGGCTTTAAGGGCTTCGCTAGTGCAGTGACATCAGCTCCGAAACGGTACACCGGGGAGATACACCGGTGCGCGGTATACCGGGTGACGGGTGGCGAAAGACCGGTGACCGGAAGCTCGTGATAAGCCCGGAAGGCGTCCCGCGTATGTATTAATACGTCTGAAAGAGATGCGTCCAGGAGGCGAGAACGTACCGTTCGGAAAAAGGTTTTCGACGATTTCGAAGATCTTTCAGTGACATAGGTGACGTTATCTTTGAAACGGTACACACGTCGGGTACACGCCGGAACGGAACAGCGTATGCCGCGGCTCAGCCATTGCCGAGGTCACAGACCTTCTATGCCGGTCGGCAGGCAACGCTCTCCCTTTGCCTTGCCTTGTCTTGCCCATGTCTCTCGGCGTGTTGGTTTGGCGTGCTCCGGAGAACTTCGCAGTAGTCCTTTACTTTTCTCTACTACTCCCTCCCCTTCACTCCCTTTTCCACGACCTTTAGGATACGACGCGGTAATACCGATAGCATTAGTCTAGAGGGCACCACGCATTCGGATGAGCATCTTCGCGTGCGCAACCACTGATCGACGCCGATCTACTCTCCCAGATACTCCATTCGCAAAAGATAATGCATTAAGTAAAAATATTATTAATTAATTAGAAAAAGGATTAATAACGGCAGCCGTTTTAACATTTAATCAGAGATGTTATGATTAATACATGATGTTTTGTAAGCGTTTTTGTAATAGTTCCACTGAAGATGGTCCAATTTAAATTGAATTTATAAAAAGAAATCCATTATTTTTCCATTCAATTTCATGCAAAAATAATGAATTTCTTTTTACTATACCTAATATGACTAAAAATACAATTGTTTTAATTGAACTATTATTTTGCCAAGCTCATTACTTCTTTCTTTAATTAATTGTTAATTGTCTGAGCTATGCAGCTTAACTATTTATTATAAAAATGTATTTTTTAAGATTATAAAATATAGGATATATAAAAATCATCAGATTAAAAACATCCATGATTATTGAAAAAATTGCAGTGGACAAAATTAATATTACTTATCAATATATGATTATTGTCACGATTTTTCATTTTCACGCATTAATTGTCTGACTGACTTATTTATCAAATGTTCGATATTAATAAAGTATTCAAAATATAACAATATTTTTTAAATAGAAACAAAAGATTTTGCTTGAAAAGCATATCAAGATTATATCGTCAAATGCAGTTATATTGAACATCCCGTTGTGCATAAAGCGTAATAGAGACAGCGTGCTATCGCAAAATTCGATCAGGGGGAAGGCATCTAGAAATGTCCCAGGGGTAGTTACATATAAAGCTCGAATCACACGTTGCAAGTATCACACGATTTCTTGAATGATAAACAGACACGCGTTGTCTACAAGAGCTTTTTTATGATGTCTTTTAGATATCTTTTGATGAACATGTCTGTCCAAAACCAATGTCTTTATAATGTCTTTATGACTTCTTTTAAACGTGCGTGTTATCGGAGATGCTATGCTTGCTTTGATGTATTAATGTATTCTAGAGATAAGATCTACTTAATATTGCAAATACTTTGAAGCATTCTTTAATTGATCAATTCGCAAAATTTTTTGGAATATTAAAATTGTTGGCTTTAAATGTATGTACGTCACACCTATGCAGTTTTGAAATATTATCAATTTAACAATTAATAATGCAAGTAATGTTAATTCATAATCAGCAATATTAATTGTAATTTATATTGCTATGCTAAATTGATCTCCCGACAAAATATTTAACAGTTTTCAAATCAGGACGAAAACATTTTTAAATATTATTGATAGTCAGGGAAAAGTTATGGAATTTTAGGATAAGAATTTATGACAACTATGCAGAGGTAGAGGTTTTTCATCCCTTAAGTCGAAATCGCACTAATTCTTGATAAGCATATATGCTTTTATACCTTCTCTGATGAATAAACATTTAGAAATGCGATTTACGCTGCAAATACTTCGTTGATCATTCAAAAGAAAAAATTTTAATATTCCTCGACTTTCCCCTAATAATTATCCGATTTCTAATTTTATGGGAACTCTGTCCTGACGGCGTATCCTTTTCTTCGCTGCGTAGTAGGGCCGAAGCGCGACGTAGATCTCGCGAAGCCATCTCCCGCGTGTTTGCGTGCGCGAATATCATTGCATGCGGGGATGAGTAAGCCTCAACGCGGGGTTGCCGCGACGAGACGGCCGGCGTTTCGTGGGCGCATCGCATGCGATACGACGTTGCCGGCGATAGAGATAGCTGCGGCCCGTTGGGGATGCACACGCATCGGTCGGAGCGCGCGCACCGGGCATCCACCCCTACCATGGATATGACGAATACCGCGCGTCTCTCCCCCTGCGCTCTCCCACTACTGCTGTGCACTGCGCAACGACACGCGCGCGCGCTTACTACTCGCTCGCAAATTCACTTATATATATAATATACACGCGCACGTCTCTGTACTGCGTAAAGATCTGAGGAGCATTGTACAAAAATTACGCACGTGTTATCCCGACGAGACGTCCTTGCGTCATCGCTCCCCGGAGTCCTTTGATAAGCGACGTGTGAAAAATTTCTTGTTAAATCGTTTCGAAAACGAGAGACGCGGCCAATGAAATAGACTATACCGTGATTCGTCCCGCAGGAATGCGCTGGAAGTCAACGCCCCGAAGTTCGTTAGAGTGAATGGATCTCGATTCTCGAATCGGCCGTGCGTGCGCATTCCTTCAAGCGAAAGAACTCGGCGCGGCGTCACAATTCTATTTTCGGATATTCGACTGTATTGATGATTAATCACAATTCGAGCACCTACACTACTGCCGAGCCGGCACGCAAACTGTCTCGCCGATTACCAAGGCCGATTCTTGCACGCGTTTATTTGCAGGTTGTGCAGACTCGCCGTAGCGTCAAGCGTGTTGTTCACGAATCGAACGTACGCAGCACCACAAAAATCGATTCCAAACTACACGCTTGACGCTACGAGAGTTCGCTTTCCACGCGGTCTCTCGCTTTCTCCGCGCTAATCGACTCGTGTTGAGTCGCCGGCAATTGCACGCGGCAGGAACTGTATTTTCCTGCGTCACTCTACCTTTCCCACGATTGCCAAGATTTTCGCGTGCAAACCATTTTCTTTCGTTGAAT